TATTTTAGTTATCAAATCTTTCTACTCCTTTTTACTTACACATGCATACCTATTAGTACATAGTATTACTATAGTCATAAAGTATTTAATAGGCAAAAATCACTCAAAAGACTGTTGTAGTGATGTATGTATAATATCTGTAATTTGAACAACTGTAGTATTATAATAAGAATTATAGATTTGGCATAAATTAATAGTAACAATCTCATTAGTCTATAGCATGCTATTCCTACTACTAATAGTTACTGTCTCTTTATTACTTTGATTATTATCACTTTCACTTGAAATATCTGTTTCATATTTACTAACAAACCCTTCAGCCTCTACAGGTTCATTATTTTCATTTATATTCATATTTGATACAAACTTTATATAGGTTACTGAAAGATTAATTTTAGTTTCTAGTTGTAGATTAATACTAATTATCTAATGATTAATACCAGGAGCAGCACACAAAACTGTTGCAGAAAGCTGCATTGTTTTCTATATACTTCCTAAAAGTAGATGAGCAATAGCTTTTCCTACTACAGATCTAAGAACAGAGATCTTAGAACCTTCTTTATTGTCTATTAAAACTTTTGTGTCTTTCTTGTATTAGCTACCTTGTACTTATTTTTTTTAACTAATAGTCATATAAAGTTAGAGATTCAACTACAAATATGATCTAATTAAAGTTTATTTCACACAAACAATTTTCTTGTTTAATTAGATTCCAAAATTCTTTATATATTAAAGAATTATATCATATTTATTAATTAGCGCAATTTAGCATTATTACATCACAGCACATTTACTTTAAACTTTTTTATATATTTAATTTATGCCAAAAATTTACTTCATATGATCTTAAATCAACTATTGAATTTGATTTAAATATAACTCTAATAACCCTGAAATAATAGCTAAAGCAAGCCTCAGATTCAAGTAAGTAGTCTATTAAATTTGAGTTCAATTGGCTTTTATTTATATAAAAAAAAATCATGTTATAAACTGTCACAATATAGTATAGTATATTACTGGTAGTACAGGTAAATCCAATCTATTAAGAGACTAACTTATCATATTTTTTTAGTAGCAAAATACAATTTACATTAATATGTTTTATATAACTCTTTTTCTACTTATAATACTTAAATATATCTTAATACCTTAATATTCTAAATATACTAAAATTCTACTAATTCTTTATAATTTCATTATCTTTTTAGAAGAAAACTATTATAATATATATTTAATGAAGAAAAATTTTCTAAACTATTATAATTTTTTTCAATATCTTTATATAAATTATATATTGACTTTTATAGTTTTTCATCAAATTATCTATATTTTTCTATCTTAATATTTTTATTTATTAATAAAAATTATTAATTTTATTAATTATTATAGCAGTTTTTACAAGCAATAGGCTAGATAAAGAAAATTCTATATCTATAAAGAATAATAAATTTAATTCTGAGAATAGAGTTTCTAATAATTTTATTATATAGAATAATAATTATTTTTTAATTTATCTTAAGAATATAGAAGATTTGATAACTAAAAT